TCCCTGAAGGCCAGCGCCGCAAGAGTCCGTGCCAAGATACCCCATATTGTCAGATTCGCTTTTGGGCTTGTCCCCGAGGTAGTTCGACCCCTGAACATGAATATATGACATCCACGTTCATGAAACCGCTAAGAGTCGACGCTACATACGGTGGGGTCAAAACAGGCATTGATTCCGTCGCCTGTAAAACCAGTTGGTTACGTGCCAAAGCGGATGTGATACTCGTCATACGGAGAATGAACAATTTCTGGGGAGTAACTTTCAGACAACTCGGAAATCCTACCAGAGATTTGAAAACTGAGTCTGCAAAGGATAAATAGTGCCACAGGTCTTTCTTCAATTTTTTCTACCCTTTCAGCCAGCGGAAATATGACGGAACACTTACTTTCAGAGCAGTGCAAATGGACAAATATGGAGAACATCTATGAAGGAACAATGTCATGCCATGATTAATGAGCGACACCGCTACTGTTTGTCGAACAGTACAAAGAGCAATACGTCGTTGACCGATCCGCGCCGCTTCCGAGAGGAAGCTCTTTCAGCTTTTTTTGTACCTCGTTCATGATTGATCGTTTGATTGACATCCATATATCAGTTATGAGAACAACATACCTGTCACATACCGAATGACCCTGTCGCCGGATCTCTCGCCGACCACAGTTTTTAATGGAACACGTCTTGTCGGCGTCACAGTTGTCGCTACCACGCCCTATGATTCACGCTTTATTACAGCGCTCACTTTGTACACCCGGGATTCCCCGTCCTGTGACGACGCAAAAGCCCCTCCTTAAATGTGGCTGTTCCGTCATCTCTACCCTAGCCACACATCTGCTAGCATTTTTATCTTTCCTTTACTAGTGAGAGCTTCCTCTGGGGTTCTCTAAAGGTGAATCAGCGGCTTCAAAATGAATCAGTAGCTACCATCGACCCTCCGCACATTTCGGGTCGATAAGAGAATAATTTCAGGAAGCGCCAATCATCTACCGCATTATCTGCAGAAACCACATGCGTGGGGTAATAGGAATGTAGTGCACATATCCTAGATTTATAAGGACTCATGCAGAGAGCGATGAACCCCATTACTCTACTTGCACACAGCTACGGACTTTTTTCCAGTACATACAATTTTGCC